GATTTATTGTTCAATTAGTCTTTTTACTCAAATATGTGGCTTTATTTTATAATAATAAATTACTTGAAAGTGAAATGTTGCATCAAATTATTTCTATGTACTATCCTGAATTAAAAAATGTGAAACTTAATATCTTTAATAAGTTTTAAGCTAATTCAGATCTAAATTAGATAAAACTTCCTAACTAAAATTTAAATCAGAAATTTCAAGATCTATTAAGAAAAGCCAAAGAAAAATGCCGATTGATAAATTTATTATACGAAATATCAAGAATATAGTTTATTTTAGATTAATAGTTTGGTTAATAAGTACTGATAAATAGTCATTTATTAGGAGGAAAGGTAACTAAAGGTTCAACAGAACTCTATTGTGACAGTAATAAAGAATCAAATAAACTTAGTGTAAAACCGCTTAATTAGGAGGAAGAAAATATTAATAATTTCTTATAAGATGAACCTCTTGAATTATTATTAATATAAGTTTGAATATTTGGTGTTAATATAATTTCTATAAATTTTACAATTATTTTAAAATATAATTAGACTATAAAATTAAAAAATAACATCTAATATAAATTATTTTTTAACAAATTTAATTAAATTAAAAAAATTCATTTAGCCAAAAAATGGATAAAACCTATTTGTTGAAATTATGAGAATGCTGTATTTCATTAATAAAAATCAAAATAGAAGTCCTAACATTTATTCAAGTATTAGTTAATTAATTATTTTGCTTACTAATAAAAATAGATTTTTTTCAAAAAAAGGCAATTTATTATTTCTTTTCAAAAAGAATTTAGGGCTTGGATTATTGAAGGATTCGTTATGGATAATAAATTTGAAATAAATTTTTTGAAAAAGCTTGAAATCACCTAGCGAAAAGAATAGCTGGATCTGACTCCCCCTACAGTTAAAGTACTTGAAATCCCTTACCTGAAAGAGTGGAGAACAATGACACAGTGATATAATTGCCTCAGTTCAGCGGAGTGGATATGGGAATCTAAGAAAATCGCACTTTAAAATTTTTTTTTATCAAAAGAAGAATTGAAGCAAGCCTTGGGCCAAGAGTAAAGATGGATTTCTAAAAATGCAAATTTATAATCAGATCTATGATTTAGTTCAAAAACAACAGTAAGTTGATTCAAAACTTAAATTATTATTTTTCAGCTTTATTTCTGATGATTTATTATTTTTTTGTTTGATTTTTTTATAACTTTTGTACTTTTCTTATTTTTTTTTCTTTTGAATTCTATTTTTTTACGTGTGATTATTGCTTTATTTCTTATATCAGTGTTTCTGCACTCTATCAAATCAAATAGTTTTCTATTTGATATGCAATATTAGATCTTAAAGCTTATCTACTTTTGAATTATAGTGGCGAATTGCTTAAAAATATTTTAAAATACATGCATTTTGATTTTAAAATGACATTCCACTACTATTTCTTCTAAATATCTTTTCAGATAAGTGAGTTTGAGTATTATATAATAGGTTTCCATTTTATTCACATTTTCATTGTCGATCATGTTTGCATCTAAATCATGGCTTAGATATTGCTTAACATAATTTGACATTAAATTGAAAATTTTAATTTCTATCGATATCCTGATTGAGGTATTTTTGTAGAAGATGAAAAAGTCTTGAGTATGGATAACAAAATCCTGCATGAGGCAAAAAATTCATTACAAATAATAACATAATAATTTATTAATAATTCATGTCATTTTTAATATGTAAATTAATTAATAATAATCTATAAAAGAAGTAACAGATTGAATAACTAAAAAATATAGTAACTATTTAAGAAACACAAACACTCTCATCTAATAATTAACCAAATTTTACAAGATTTACTTATTAATTTATGGAGTAATATTCAATTAAATAAGATTAAAATTGCTATTAATAAAGATTGTTCAATATTAGTGGCTGGATGTAATAGTGTAATTAAAGTATTTGAATTTCAGTAAGGAATTAGGAAATTAGTTTAAGATTTAAATGAACATAGAAATAATGTGAGAAATATAAATTTAATGAACAGATCAAATCAGTTTATATCTGGGAGTGATAAATTGATCAAAATATGGGCAAGAGATCAAAATAACTCATGGATTTGCTAATAGCAATTGAATGGACATACAAATTTGATCTATTGTTTAGTATTAAATACTAATGATGATATTTTAATATCTGGAAGTAAAGATCAGGCAATTAAATTATGGTATAAGTAGAATGAATGGCTATGTTCATTGATAATAATGAATCATAAAGATACTGTATATAGACTCAGTTTAAATGAATAAAATAGAGTGATATCTTGTGGAGAAGATAAGCTTATATTAGTAATAGAACAATCAGAGTAGAATAAATAATTGAATGTAATATAAGAGATTATGGTAGAAAAGGAAGGAGTTCGATTATTCT